TAAAAAGCACAAGAAACACCAAAAATATCCCAGAACTAGAAAAGCAGTTATTATGTTTGGTTTAGCTTATTTTCATGTTTTTTTATTTTTAAAAGCTATCCAAATTAAAAGTTCATAGTTTCTAAACAGAAGGTACTTTATGTAAAAATGGAAAGAATAAATTCAGCATCCTCTAAATTTGAGATGTGATTTATTAGTTAATGAATGTGTAAAATCTTTCTCTACAAATTCCGAAGTTTAGTGTTTAGGATGAACAGGAAATCTTTCCTTTAGAGGTTAAATACATCATATATGTGCTGCATGAGTAGAGGCAGGACTAGAAAGTAATTTCAGTATCATGTGCTTTGACCCCATATTTGTCCTCAGATAAGGTCTCAATTTCGATGTTTTGGATATATTTTGGTTGTCCTTCAAGGGTTCCTTGTGAATAAGACCTGGTCTGGAGAAGAGCAGTACTGGGCAGTGGTGAAACCTTTGAGAGAAGGCAGACTGGAAGGTCTTTAGGTCATTGAAGGAAAAAAATATTTCTCATAGGATCCCCTAGTAGTTCTTATGATAGGGTTGTTAAGAGAGTATCTCTCATTCTTTTTGTGCTACTGCTTGTAGTAGTGTTAGTAGTATAGATTACACTAATACACTATCAGTAGTGTGATAGTGTTATCACCATGGCTTCCTGTGCTATACAGTATCCCACACCACAGAGTCTGCTTGGGTTTAGAATTTCCAAAGCTCTCAGCTAAATAAATCTCTTTTTTTAAATTTTTGGAAATATTTTTTATGTGTATGAATGAATCGCCTACATGTGTGAGTACACTTGTGTCATGCAATGCCCACAGAGGCCAGAAGAGCTGCATTGGATCCCCTGGAACTGGAGTTATAGACAGTTGTTAGCTTCCATGTGGGTGCTGGGAATTGAACCTGGGTTCTCTGCAAGAGCAGCCAGTGCTCTTAACCTCTGAGCCTTCTCTCCAATCCTCTCTTTCTTCATGAAGTTACCTTTCAGACCCTAGATTTCCAAAAAAATACAAATGCTAACAATTAAAATGTCACTCCCAAAATACTATGTCTTGACTGAAGCTAATATCAAAAGACTTTGGTCTAAATACTAGCTCTGCTATATCCTACCTGTTAGATTTTGCTGAAATTATGTAAACTTTCCAAACCTCATTTTAATTATTTGTAAATTAATACACTATCACCAACCATCTAATTTACATGAGTTCTATCAATTCTATACAACTGTTAGATATTAAATTTAATGTTATATACTAAAAGTCATTCCACCTTAGAAATGGTATAATTTTTTTTTTTAAACATGTAGCATCAGGAAAGGGTCATTATTACCCTGGAATCAATGAACTACATAGGGACTGAGATAGATTGCCTTTGATTTTGACACTATCAGAATTATAATTACACAGTATACCTATTATCCAAGTTACTGCTATTCATATATAGAATACATGAACATAATATATAATACATGAACATAATATAATTCATGCAAGGATAGCATAAGTACTTTAAAAATTATATCATGGGGCTGGAGAGATGGCTCAGGGGTTAAGAGCACTGCCCACTCCTCCAGAGGACTAGGGTTCAGTTCCCAGCACCCACACGGCATCTAACAACTGTCTATAACTCCAGTTCCAGGGGATTTGATGCCCACATCTGGCCTTGGACTCACACACATGCAGGCAAAACACTCATACACATGAAATAAATTTTTTTTAAAATTACATCAAAAAATTAACAGAAATCTATTGTTTTTAATATGGGCATTAATAGTTATAAGTTAATTTTACTTTGTATGTGACATCAATGAACAAAATTGCTATTAAGTATGGAAAACTTTTACTAAGAAAACTTAAGAGCCAGGGAGATGGCTCAGTGGGTAAAAGTGTCTGCTGCATAAGCCTGACAACCTTTGTTAGATCCCCGGAACCCATGCAAAAGCTACATATAGCGACACAACATTTGTAATCACAGCACTCCTACTATGAGAGTGGACGCTAAGACAAAAGAATTGGCTTGGAGTACGCTGCACAACAGCTGAAAGAAGAGAAACCATGCCTCAAAAACAAAGTAGGGGGCTGGAGAGATGGCTCAGTGGTTAAGAGCACTGACTGCTCTTGCAGAGGCTCTGGACTCAATTCCTAGCATCCACATGATGGCTAATGATCATCCAGTACCAAGTAGTAAAATTAGTTTTTGCTTCTTCTTTCCTGCTAGAAAAATACCAGAGGTATCACAAGCAGCTCTGGTTCCAGGGAATCTGATGCCCTCTTCTGACTTCTGACATAGGTGCACTTACATACGTGCAGACAATACACTCGTACACATAAAACAAAAATAAATAAAATATAAAATATATTTTTAAAAAAAAACAAAGCAGGAGAGAACTGACTCTGAATAGTTATTCTCTGACTTCCACATGAGCACTGTAGCATGCACAAATAATTTTTAAAAATAAGAAAATGTCAGCCAGGCGTGATGGTGCACACCTTTAATCCCAGCACTTGGGAGGCAGAAGCAGGTGGATCTCTGTGAGTTCGAAGGCAGCCTGGTCTACAGAGCAAGTTCTTCAAAGTTTTGAAGTGCTATGCTAAGAATTAGCCAAGAAGCCAACTGAAGAAATCTTAGGTGAGAAGCTCTATTTATGGTACCTCCATTTCACTAAACCAGGAGTACACCTACTATTGTACAGACACTTGAACATAGTACTATCTGTCAAACAAAGGGAAAAAACAATCCATTTACCAAGTAGTAAAATTAGTTTTGTTTCTTCTTTGCTGCTAAAAAAAAAAATACCGGAGGTATCACAAGCATCTGTTCCCTTGGTTTGCAAAATATGAAAGTGTCCTTTCTCAATCCTAGCAATCCATGATCTCTTTGACCCACCATATTGTCTGTTGTTATAGAAACTTATGAAGGTGGCTCATCCACATATTGCAAAGCTAATGTAGGTTTTTTGTTTTGTTTTGTTTTGTTTTGAGACAGGGTCTCCTATAGCTGGCCTAGAACTCACCATATAGAGCAGGCTGGCCTTGAACTCACAGAGATCTACCTGCCTCTGGCTCTCAACTGGGATTAAAGGTATGCACCATCACACCTAGCCTGATGTAGTTTCTGTATCTCCACATTTTCATGTGAATAAAAGAAGGAACTCACAGAATGGTCTATTAAGATTCCAGCACCAAAATTTTCCCTTTTAGTCACCACTAAAAGAGATGCTGAAATAAAGTTTTAAAACATGTATAGTACATGAGAGATGGTTGGAGAGATGGCTCAGTGATTAAGTACACTGACTGCTCTTACAGAGGATGTAGGTTTGATTCCTAGCACCCACATGGCAGATAACAACCATCTGTAACTCAAGTTCCAGGGGAATTCAATGCCTTCTTTTGACCACTATGGGCATTCACAACACGGGTGCACTTATATACATGCAGGTATAACACTCATAAACATAAAATAAAAATAAACAGAATTTTTATTTTTAATGTATGTTACAAATGCCCAGATATTCATACAGTGGGAAAGAAGAGAAAGGAATCCAAGGGGCTCTCCAAAAAAGTCACTTTCCTTGGATCCTCATATTCTTTTCCCATTTTCTTTTTTTTTAATATTTTATTTATTATTTTTATTTTATGTGTATGAGTGTATTGCTTGCATGTATGTGAGTGCACCTGTGTCATGCAATACCACAGAGTTCAGAAGAGGGCTTCGGATTCCTCTGGAACTGGAGTTAAGGACGGTTCGTAGCCACGTGGGTGCTGGGAAATCGAACTCGGGTCCTCTGCAAGAGCACTCAGTGCTCTTAACTGCTGAGCAATCTCTCTAGCCCCTCTTTTTCCATTTTCAATGACCAAATTCAAGATTTACCTTCTCTCTGAGCCTATAAAATCATAGTCACTTTTATATGGCTTAGTTATAAGAATCAAATCTAAGCACTCAATGATGTCTATTTCATCCTCGGTAAAGTTGGAGTCAGCAGCTAAGGTAAGAAAAGTTACAATTTTCAATATGTTTTATTCTTAATGGGTATTTCTGAACCATGCTAATAAAAGAAGATCAATTCTTCCTCTGAAGAAGGTGCTGAGAGACATTAAACAATGGTAGCAACAGCAATACTTATAAACAATCATGTAGGTTGGGTGTTGTGGCACATGCCTATAATCCCAGCACTCAGCAAAAGAGGCAGGAAATTCAAGAGTTCAAGGTGATAGTCTACACAGTAATCGTAGGCCAGCCTGATCTATATGAGATTCTGTCTAAATAATAATAATCAAAACAACAATAAAAATGCCTGCCAAACACTACCTGCTTTATGAAGGACAGTGCTCCATGCATTTTATGTGCATTTTTACCATTTTATCTTTACAACTAGAGATTAGTTTCTATTATTCACATTCACAGATGAAAACCCTGCTGTTAAATAAGTAACTTGTCAAAAGCCAGAATATGCAGCTGGGATATCAATCCAGGCAATCCGCTCCTGAGCATGTACTCTTAACTACCATACTTCAAAGAATGCTGTGCATTTATGCATGCATGCATGCATGTGTATAAACATAAACACTATGAAGAAATCTTTCTTTTCCCTGCTCCCCCTACTCCAGTATATTTGGAGAACCAAACTTTAAAGTCATAATACAAAGCACTTTAGTGACCATCTCTCCAATGGCTTCATTTTATCACCACGGTTCTGCTACCAGATAGAATGTCCTAATCATCATTTACATTCAACTATTAAATTTCCTTAAAATGATTAACCCAAGTAGGTGAAAATGGAGGGCAGCTGAGTTGCACTATTATAAAGTAACCTACAGAAAACAATGGGAAAAACAACATAGACATTCCAGAATCCATATAATCAATTATCTCTAGCAATGATACACAATAAAATAATCTAATAGGAGATATAAACCAAAATATAACACTAAAAATAAAAAAGAGACAAATCATGATAAAAGTATATTCATAGACCACCAACTTACCAATTCAATTCCCTGTGGAAAAGGTGTATCATCCCAGTCCTGCAGTGGAAATCTCTGGATTATTTTCCCCAGACCTTCTCCTGGCCCTGTTAGTAAAGTCAAAATGAATCAGTTATAAAATGCTATAAAAATCTGAATTCTCGTTATACTTCTTGTTACTGATATATACAGTAAGCATTTTTAGGTTTTAAGGAGCAAGAAAGTATGTTCTTCTAAACATAATACTGAAATAGCAGCAACCCCTATCCTAGTACAAACTGCCAAAAAGATTAACTGATACATGAAGAAAGAAAAGAATAGAGGCACTGAAATCTAGGTGGCTACCACCCTGTGGGAGTGACAACTCTCTCTGCCCCAAATAAGGAAAGTAACTTCAGTATCTCAAGCTGAAACTTAAGAACAGCATTTCTGTGAAGACAGTAATTTTAAGTAACAAAGAAATGGTACTGTTGGCAGCAAGTTTCAAGTATAAGTTATGTGCAGTTATGTATTAGAAGTTTTTTAGGCTGGTCTGAGACCTTACCATTACATAGGTAGAGTTTCTAAATACCAGCACTATTGACATTGGGCTGGGTAATTCTCTGGTATGTGTTGAGTGAGTATGTGCTGTCTTGTGTGTATGTTTAGCAGTATCCTCAGCCTCCACTCACTGGAACTCGGTAGCACTCACCATCGCCACCACCAAGTAAGCTGTTAAAACCAAGAATGGAATGTTTCCAGACATTGCCAAATATCCCTGTGGGGGAAAACCACAGATCCATTTATCATGTTATAAAATTAGCTTGAGACATCAAAGAATGGATCAATTTAAAATTGAACTTTGGGGATATAATCTGTAAGACAACCAGATATATGAAATACATGTTAGATCTAAACTAATCAGCTTTCTAAAATTTCCCCCTACCCTCAGTACTGGTTGATGGAACCCTGCTGCCTCCCATATACTAGTCAAGCACTCTACCACTGTGCCACATTCCTGGATCCTACTTTTTGCTATACTTCTGATTAGATGTTACAATATTATGTGAAGATAGAAATTAGGTAATCAAAATGGGAAAATTTTCATTATAAACAAAATGTAGAAACAAGACAAGGTATAGTGGTATCTGCCTATAATCATAGCACTTTGAAAGCTGAGGCAGGAGGATTACAAGTTCAAGGCCAGCCAGAGATACATAGGGAGCCCTGTCTTAAAAAATAAAAATAAAGAGGTCAGCCTGGTCTACATAGTGAGTTCCAGGCCAGCTGGGGCTACAGGGAGACCCTGTCTCAAAAAGACTAATAATAATAATAATAATAATAATAATAATAATAATAATAATAATAAAA